AAGCCAATGAAATTCCAAAAAGTACAAGAACTTACACCACAACAGAAAGAAAATAGACTTAAAAGAGGTAAAGAGTTGCTTAGCGTGGCCGAAAGTGGTGAACTGACGAATTTAGTTTTCTCCGATGAGAAAACATTCGTTGTCCAGCAGTTTGTAACCAAACAAAAATATCGTGTTTACTTGCCTTGTCAAAGAGGTCAGCTGACAATGTGCACCTTCGGTTGGCCACCAGAGCTCACGCGCCGGCCATGGTGATGATGTGGGCCGCCATAATAGCCGATGGTCGCTCTCCGCTCGTATTAGTCGACCGTGGCATCAGAATAAATGCCGAATATTATCGCGAAAATATTCTGGAGGGCGTATTAAAGCCTTGGGCACGCAAACATTTTGGCCGAAGACCTTGGACATTTCAACAGGACTCAGCACCATAGCACTCAGCACGCGCCACCCAAGAATGGTTACAAAATGAGATTCCTCGCTTCATTTCCAGCGCACAATGGCCACCAAAATCTCCGGATACCAATCCGTTGGACTATTGAGTCTGGAGTATTTTGGAAACCAAGATTGGTACTAAAAAATACAAAAGTGTCGATCACCTCAAGCAAGCGCTTTGCCGGTAATGGGACAAAATATCGCAGAGCAACATTCGGGCAGCATGTGACGGCTTCATTGGGCGTTTGAAGGCCATAATTCGTGTCAAAGATGACCAATTCGAAATCTGAACTTATTCTAAAATTTGATGCTATTGCCGACATTTTTATACCCTACACCACAAGGTGGTCAAGACATTATGTCTTTGTGCATTTGTTTGTAACAGGCAAAAGGAAACGAGATAGACCCATAGTTCCTTTTGATGATCTGCATAGAATCACATTATGAGTCGATTTATGTATGTCAGTCCGTCTGTCTGTCCATGTATTTTTGTAAACAAAGAGCAGTTCGCATTTATTGCCCTATCCAGATGAAATTTTACACAAATCATTTGTTTGGCCCAAGGACGAACCCTATTGAAACTGGATATAATCGGTAAAGAATTTAGATATAGCTCCCATAGATATCTTCGTCCGATTTGCCTTTTATTGTGCACCAAACGTGTAATATCAGTCCGAATAGTATGGAATTTTGCACGTACGATCAAACTGGATATAGCTATAGCTCCCATATATATTGTTCATCCGATTTGTTATTTTTGTCCTCCGCAACCGTAATATGCACTCTGTAACAACAATATTTGGGGAAATATATCAAATACAGCTCAGAAATACATTTGCTAAATTTTATCGAGATCGGTTCAGATTTGGATATAGCTCCCATATATAACTTCGTCCGATTTACGTTTTATTGTGCGCCAAGCGTCTAATGTTTGTCCAAATTGGATGAAATTTGGCACTTACGACCGAATAGAGTCTAGAAGATAGTATGTCAAATTTGGTGAAGATCGGTTGAGATATTGCTATAGCTCCCATATATATTGTTCATCCGATTTGTTATTTTTGTCCTCCGCAGCCGTAATATGCACTCCGCGACAACGATATTCAGGGAAATATATCAAATACAGCTCAGAAATATCTTTGCCAAATTTTATCAAGATCGGTTGCGATTTGGATATAGCTCCCATATATATTTTTATCCGATTTCAAATTAATTGTTCACCAAATGGGCAATACAATTCCGAATTTAAAAGATACAAATGCTTCGGCATATTTAATCCTTTGAACTTTAAATTATAATTATAATCATAGCGTGTATGATTGAATTCTCCCATAAAAACTTTTAATTGTTATGCGCAGCTCTACTAAATTTGCAAAGTGGTGTAGGGTATCATAAAGTCGGCCCCGCCCGACTTTAAGACTTTCTTTACTGTTTTTTTTTTTAAATTTTATTGATTGAAAACAAACCAGTAAAGAAAGTCTTAAAGTCAGGCGGGGCCGACTTTATGATACCCTTCACCACTTTGCATATTAAGTAGAGCTGCACATAACAAATAAAAGTTTTATGGGGAATTTGTGAGAATTAAATCATACCAATAATTAAATCATAGCAATAATTAAAAGTCCAAAGGAACTAATATATGTGAGGAGATATTCCCCCTCTGAATCGATATCTACTAGATTTGTCGAGGCATTGCGATTTTTTCAATTCGTGCTTGCATTATTCATTTGGTGTACAATAAACTTGAAATCGGATAGATATATATGAGAGCTATATCTAAATCTGAACCTAGCTCGATAAAAATTGGCAAAGGTATTTCTGAGCTGTATTTGATATATTTCCCCAAATACCGTTACTACGGAGTCCATATTACGGCTATGCTGGGTAAATTCAACAAATCGGATGAACAATATGTATGGGAGCTATAGCTATATCTGAACCGATTTCCACCAAATTTGACATACTGGTTTCCAGACACAATTTGATCGTAAGTGCAAAATTCCATTCCATTTGGTCTAATATTACACGTTTGGTTCACAATAAATTGTAAATGGGACGAAGATATATATGGAGACATATACACATATAGTTATATTTTATATATTTCCCCAAATAACGTTGTTACAGATTACATATTACGGCTGCAGAGGACAAAAAAAAAACAAATCGTATGAACAATATATATGAGAGCTATATCTATATCTGAACCGATTTCGATTATATTTGGCATACTTATTTTCAGGTCCAATCTGATTCGTGCAAAATTACATACTATTTGTTCTGAAATTACAATTTCTGTGAACAATATAAGGCAAATTGGACGAAAATATATATGGGAGCTATACTTAAATTTTGACCGATCATCTCCAATTTCAATAGGGTTCGTCTTTGGATTAAACAAATTATTTGTTCAAAATTTCATCTCAATCTGGCAATAAATGCGACCTGTACTTTGTTTACAAAAAGTACATGGACAGACAGAGGGACGGACATGCATAATTCAGAATTTGATTCTATGCAGATCATCAAAAGGAACTATGAGTCTATGTCGTTTCCTTTTGCCTGTTACGAACAAATGCACAAAGACTTGACCACCTTGTGGTATAGGGTATAAAAATATCGGAAATAGCATCAAATTTTAGAATAAGTTCAGATTTTTTCGAATTTTGCACAAATCTGTCTTTTGTCAAGTTCAAAGATGGACTATATGGGTCCACGATATCGTATTGCCCCCATATAACTCTACCCCCATTTATTCGGTATTTTGATGATTTCATCCAAATTTTTTAATGGAATTGTCCTAAAATCTACACAAGGGGTTGCTTCTGAGTACTTAACCCCCTGAAAGAAAATTGTCTATACAGGTTCACGATATCGTATAGTCCCCATATAACTTCACATCCCGATATTTGGTATTTTGATGATTTCAGCCAATTTTTTAATGGAATTGTCTTAAAATTCATCCAAGGGGTTCCTTCTGAGTACTTTACTGCCTAGAAGAGAATTGTCTAAATAGTTCCACGTTTTAGTATAGCGCCCATATAACGGCACCTCCTGATATTCGGTATTTTGATAATTTTTGTGACATTTTTTAGCGGAATTATTTCGTATTTGAAGTTGGTAATAGCCTATGACAAAAATTTTTGTATCCAAGTCCACGTCTTCGTATAGCCCTTCCCGATACTCCGTGTTGTCATAATTTTTGCGACATTATTCACCGTAATTGTAACAAATTTCGTATTTAAGGTTCGTAACGGGTACTTCAGTCCATGACAACAAATTTCGAATGCCGGTCCATGTCTTTGCATAGTCCCCATATAACGGATTTCATTTAAGTGGCAGTTTTCGGATTTTTCTTTTTGAAAATTTGAAATTATTTTGTAATGGTGGAGGGTATTAAAAGTTCGGCCCGACCGAACTTAGCTGCTTTTTTACTTGTTAACTCCTCGAAATTTGCAGTTGATTTAGCGATGTCTGTCTGTCTGCTGTAATCACGCTATCTTTCGAAGGTATTGCACACATGTGTATTTTGCTATATATATTGCCCTATATAACGATACTTCCGAATAATCGGAATTTTTATGATTTTAGCGACATTATTTACCGCAATTACTTAAAATTTCGTATTTGAAGATCTTAACGGGTACTACAGGCTATGACAAAAAAAAAAACACATATGCAGGACCACGTTTTCGTATAGCCCCCATATAACGGAAGATCCCATTATTCCGTATTTTGCACAAGAATTGTTTCAAATTTGGTATTTGAAGTTCGTAATGGATAATACAGCCTTAGATAGAAAATTGTCTGTGCAGGTCCACGTTATGGTATAACGGCTATATTCGGTATTTTTAAAATTTTAAGATTTTTTTAAGGATTTTATTTTTTGAAAATTTCCAAATTTGTTCCGAACTTACTGCTCGAAATTCTTGGTAATAGGCAAGTTAAGTTCGTAAATGGGCCATGTCGGTTCACCTTTTCGTATAGCCTCCATACAACGGTACCTCCCGATATTGGGAATTTTTATGATTTTAGAGACATTATTTACCGCAATTATTTCAAATTTGGTATTTGAAGATCTTAATGGGTACTACAGGCCGTGACAAAAAAATACATACCACGTTTTTGTATAGCCCCCATATAACGGTATATCCCAATATTCGGTATTTTGATGGTTTTAAGAGACATTACAGACCCATAGTGTTTCAAATCCCTGTCTTCGCATAGTCTCCATAAAACGTGATTTTCATTTAGACGGCATTTTTCGACGGATTTTTTTTTTATTTTTTAAGTTTCTTCCAAATGGTGGAGAATATTAAAAGTGCTGCGCGGCCGAACTTATCTGTTTTTTAAATTGTTTTTGTTCGCAAGAGTACTACTGCTCGAATTTGAGCACTAGAGCTTTGGTTGTAGAGGATTGGCCGGATATAGTTTTGAAAATAATGGCGTAAAAACCTGCAATTTAAAGAGCTTCCTCCAATACCTGAAGTTAAAAATTTAAGTTATCGGATGGTTATTTTCGCTTTCTGTCTTCAAATAAAACACATATGGTATTACTGTCTAATGATTAGAAATCGATAATATTCTTTATTTAGATTTTTATTTATTTTACAAAAATAAAATCAATCAATTTGTTCGGCAAACGAATGTAACAATATTTAAACACACAAACAAGATCCCAACAAAAATAATGATTCAATTAAAAAATCTACTGAAAAGGGTCCGCTAAAATAATTATAATAAAAAAAATGTAATGTTAAATATTTATATAATTTATTATTTTAGGGATATAATTATTAATATTAAATGGCTTAAGATTATCTAATGGGATCATAAGGGAAGGACATTTTATTTTTGTTTTCTTTTATATAAGTACATTATGTTCGCTTTCCTGAAATTCGCACAAATGTCAAACGATTTATCTCGTGAGATTTCTATGTCATATTTAGGCCATAAGACTCGTATTTTTATATTTTGAAACAGTTCGTCTAATATGGCCTCAGCCTTTTTAATTTCTGTGCAAATTTCCCATAACTTTTTCCCCTATTCACCCCCATTAGAGAATCTTAACTTCGATGCTTATAACAATGTGTGTGGACCCTTTTTTCGCGATTAAAATTATTTATTATTTAAACTTAACAATTAGCCGCACTTAATCGAAAATCAATGGTGGAAAATAAATACATTTTACAAAACTGCATTCTGTAATAACAAAATTGCAATAAAAACAAATGGCGTATGAAATTACAATCACAAATAAAATAATAATACAACAGAAGGGACGACGAGGGGAGATGAAGAATTCTAAAATTAAAATCACAACGAATTTTTACTAAAATAAAAGAATATATTTTTTTTCCTAAAATTTAGGGACATGGCGTCGTCTTCGTACTCCCAAATATTCGCCGGTTGCTGCTGATCTTCCCTTGCCGGGAAAGCCGCGGGCAAATGGAGGTTTGGCATTTGTCGTGACGTAGTAGGTACCGCGAGCTCTGTAGAAAAAAGACAGACAACAAAAATTTATTAATTAATTATTAAATTCATTATCTAATTATACATTTTGCAGGGTGGGAATATCGGTCAGTTTGTATGGTATCTGGGTGAATGACTTTCTCCCTGTCTTCTGTTGCTGGAAGACTTTCTTCTATGGATAGTAGACCTTCTACAAGTTCTATAGGTGCTAGACCTTTCACGGGTCTTCTATTGGTAAAATATCTCATAAAAGTGTTTTAAAGGTAGAGGACCCTTTTCAGGTATTCTAATGGCAGAATAGCTTCTATAAGTCTTCCTAAGGCAGAAGGCTTTCCATAGGTCTTCCAAGGACAGAAAACCTTCTACAGGTTTTCCAAGAACAGAAGACCTTCTACTGATTTTCTTAAGACAGTACAACTTCTACAGGTCTTCCAAGGACATACGAACTTTTTCTAGGGATAGAAGATCTTCTACATACCTTCCAAGGACAGGAGACTTTCTACAAGTCTTTTGAGCGTTCCAAAGACAGAAGAACTTTACATGCTTTACATGCAACTTTACATAAGAACTTCTACAGTTCTTTTAGGGATAGAAGACCTTCTACAGGTCTTCTACAGATATAAAACATTCTACAAGTCTTCTAGAGATAAAAGACCCTCCAAAGGCTTTCCAAAGACATAAGAACTTCGACAGGTCTTCTAGAGGTTGAAGACTTTCTACAAGTCTTACAAGGACGGAAGACCTTCTACAAATTGTCTAGAGATAGAAGACCTTCCACAGGTTTTCCAAGGATATAAGAACTTCCACTGGTCTTCTTGGAATAGAAGACCTTCTACAAATCTTTTATGGATAGAAGACCTTCTACAGTTCTTACAAGGACAGAAAACCTTCTAAAAGTCTTCCAAAGATCAAAGAATTTTTGCAGGTCCCTAAGGAAAGGAGACCTTTTACAAGTCTTGTACGGATAGAAGACCTTCCACAGGTATTCCAAGGACATAATAAATTCCACAATACTTCAAACGGCAGAATACCTTCTTCAGATCTTCGAATGACATGAGTACTTGAACCGGTTATCTAGGGATAGAAGACATTCCACTGGTCTTCCATCAGGGACACAAGACCTCCCACAGGCCTTCCAAGGACAGGAGACCTTCTACAAGTCTTCTAGAGATAGAAGTACTTCTACAGGTCTTCAAAGTATAGAAGACCTTATACAAGTCTTCAAGGAGTAGAAGACCTTCAACAGGTCTTCCAAGGATTTATGAACTTCCACAGGTCTTCTAGGGATAGAAGGCCTTTTGCAAGTCTTCCAAGGACAGAAGACCTCCTACAAGTGTTCTAGGGATAAAAGACCTTCAACAGGTCTTCCAAGAATTTATGAACTTCCACAGGTCTTCTAGGGATAGGAGACCGTCTACCGGTCGTCTAGGGATAGAAGACCTTATACCGGTCTTCTAGAGATAGAAGACCTTCTACCGGTCGTCTTCTACAGATCTTTCAAGGACAGAAAACCATCTACAAATTTTCCAAAGATCTAAGAATTTCTACAAGTCCCTAAGGATACAAGTCCCTTCGCAGAAGACCTTCTGCAAGTCTTCGAAGGACATAAGACCTTCTACAGGTCTTCTAGGGATAGAAAACTTTATACGGGTCTTACAAGGACAGAAGACCTTTTACAAGTCTTATCTGGATAGAAGACCTTCTACAGGTTTTCCAAGGACAGAACAATATCCACAGGGCTTCTAGGACTTTGTACAGATCTTACAAGGACATAAGAATTTCCTTAGGTCTTCAAGGGATAGAAATCCTTCTACTGGTCTTCTAAGCCCAGAACAATATCCACTGGTCTTCTAGGGACAGAAGACCCTCTAGGGATAGAAGATCTTTTACAGGTCAAAGGACCGTCTACAACTCTTCTTGGGATCGAAGATCTTCCAAGGACAGAAGACCATCCACTAGTCTCTAAGGACACAAGAACTTCTACAGGCCTTAAAAGGGCAGAAGACCTTTTGTAAATCTTTCAAGGACAGAAGACCTCCAATAAGTTTTCTAGGGATAGAAGACGTCCTACAGGTCTCCGACGGATAGAAGACCTCCAATAAGTCTTCTAGGGATAGGAGACGTCCAACAGGTCTTCGATGGATAGAAGACCTCCAACAGGTCAGGACACATGACCTTCTACAGTCCTTCCAAGGACAGAAAACCTACAGGTTTTCTATGAATACAATACCTTCTATCGATAGAAGACTTTCCACAGATCATCCAAGGGCGGAAGGTCTTTTGCAGGTCTTCCAAGGACAGAAGACCGTCTGCACGTCTTCTATATCTTCATAGAAACTCTTAAGCCCTTTTATTGCACTCCGACTTCCCATCCCTGACTTTAGGCTTTGACATCCGAACAATAACTTACTTATGCGAAACATGCTCCCCCATCAGCACATATTCCGAATCCTTGGGTTCACACCAACCTATTAGATAGGTAAATAGATTGGGACATGGTCCAGCATAAAAGCCCTTGGTTGTTGTTATTGACTCAATGAAGTAGGGCGTGACCTTGGTGTGGTCGCAGGCCAGTGTTTCTGAAAAGAAATTACCAAAATTAATTCAATATTCCACTCCAATCGCAACCATTAACTTACGAAAAATGGTCGGTGATCCCACACAAGCTGGTTGACGGGTGCCACCATTGACATAGAAATCCGCATGACCACTGCTATGCCACTGACCCAAAATTCCTGCGCCCGTGTGTAGCACATCAACGAAATGGGCATCACTGGGATCTAAATCCTTGGAATTATTTGTTCCGGCATAGAAGAAAATTGTTGGATCCAATGCCGTAATGCGTCCTATTTTTCCCTCTTCCGGTCGGAGGTAATTGGCCACCAAACCAGCAATATGGGCACCCACACTATAGCCAATAAAATGTATATCATCGGGACGCACTCCCCGCGGATGTCTCAGCAGATATTTCACCAGCTGTGATATACAGAGGCCACCAAATCTTGGTGCCCATTCCATTTGACTGAGGCATGGCTCCTTCACCGCCGAACCATAATCGACAATAATAATGTTGTATTCACCAATTGTGAAATAGGCTTTTCGTATATCCGGACTTGGACTCAGATTACGACCACCTCCAAAGCCATGGATTACAATCTTCGTGGGATGGCGGGGATTGAAGTGTGTATAATAGAGGGCATTGTCATCGAGTACATCTATGAACTCCGGCTCTTCTTGGGTCCTTCGTGTGTACAAATAGAATTGGATTTTGGGATGGGGACATCGAAAGGGTTTCTCCAGACACGATTCGGTGACGTAGACTTGGGTTTGGTTACGATCTTGGGCAGCTGTAAGTACAAGAAAATGAAAGGATATTATAGTTAGGTTGGTAGGCAATATTCTATAAAAAAAAATCTCAGGAACTAAATAGACTTAGAAAAAATATTTCCACAGAAACTGAAATAGAAAAAAAATTTCCTCAGGAACTGAGGAGACTTTTTTCGTTAGAAAAAAATTTCCTCAGGAACTGAGGAGACTTTTTTCGTTAGCAAAAAAATTTCCTCAGGAACTGAGGAGACTTTTTTCGTTAGCAAAAAAATTTCCTCAGGAACTGAGGAGACTTTTTTCGTTAGCAAAAAAATTTCCTCAGGAACTGAGGAGACTTTTTTCGTTAGCAAAAAAATTTCCTCAGGAACTGAGGAGACTTTTTTCGTTAGCAAAAAAATTTCCTCAGGAACTGAGGAGACTTTTTTCGTTAGCAAAAAAATTTCATCAGGAACTGAGGAGACTTTTTTCGTTAGAAAAAATTTCCTCAGGAACTGAGGAGACTTTTTTCGTTAGAAAAAATTTCCTCAGGAACTGAGGAGACTTTTTTCGTTAGAAAAAATTTCCTCAGGAACTGAGGAGACTTTTTTCGTTAGAAAAAATTTCCTCAGGAACTGAGGAGACTTTTTTCGTTAGCAAAAATTTCCTCAGGAACTGAGGAGACTTTTTTCGTTAGCAAAAATTTCCTCAGGAACTGAGGAGACTTTTTTCGTTAGAAAAAAATTTCCTCAGGAACTGAGGAGACTTTTTTCGTTAGAAAAAAATTTCCTCAGGAACTGAGGAGACTTTTTTCGTTAGAAAAAAATTTCCTCAGGAACTGAGGAGACTTTTTTCGTTAGAAAAAAATTTCCTCAGGAACTGAGGAGACTTTTTTCGTTAGAAAAAAATTTCCTCAGGAACTGAGGAGACTTTTTTCGTTAGAAAAAAATTTCCTCAGGAACTGAGGAGACTTTTTTCGTTAGAAAAAAATTTCCTCAGGAACTGAGGAGACTTTTTTCGTTAGAAAAAAATTTCCTCAGGAACTGAGGAGACTTTTTTCGTTAGAAAAAAATTTCCTCAGGAACTGAGGAGACTTTTTTCGTTAGAAAAAAATTTCCTCAGGAACTGAGGAGACTTTTTTCGTTAGAAAAAAATTTCCTCAGGAACTGAGGAGACTTTTTTCGTTAGAAAAAAATTTCCTCAGGAACTGAGGAGACTTTTTTCGTTAGAAAAAAATTTCCTCAGGAACTGAGGAGACTTTTTTCGTTAGAAAAAAATTTCCTCAGGAACTGAGGAGACTTTTTTCGTTAGAAAAAAATTTCCTCAGGAACTGAGGAGACTTTTTTCGTTAGAAAAAAATTTCCTCAGGAACTGAGGAGACTTTTTTCGTTAGAAAAAAATTTCCTCAGGAACTGAGGAGACTTTTTTCGTTAGAAAAAAATTTCCTCAGGAACTGAGGAGACTTTTTTCGTTAGAAAAAAATTTCCTCAGGAACTGAGGAGACTTTTTTCGTTAGAAAAAAATTTCCTCAGGAACTGAGGAGACTTTTTTCGTTAGAAAAAAATTTCCTCAGGAACTGAGGAGACTTTTTTCGTTAGAAAAAAATTTCCTCAGGAACTGAGGAGACTTTTTTCGTTAGAAAAAAATTTCCTCAGGAACTGAGGAGACTTTTTTCGTTAAAAAAATTTCCTCAGGAACTGAGGGGACTTTTTTCGTTAGAAAAAAAATTCTCAGGAAAAATGTCCATAGGAAAGGAAAATGACAAATATTATCACTTATATTTATATTCATCGTTCGTTGGTTCCGTTTCGTTCCATTGTTCACATAACCCATATACCCACCTGGAAATGGAATGCCATGACTCACTCCATGCGAAAAAATAAATACCATCGATAGTTTATTAAACCACTTCGACACACATGCATGCATTTTAAAACAAGAGGATATAAAAATTATAAAATAAACCCCGCTATAAATATGTATGTCTGTATGTACGTGCAATTATGTGGCGCCACTTGGATTGTTTATTGTTTTGCTTCCACTAAATTGTAAATATTTATAAAAAAATGGGAAAAATACCTTTACAACAACAAAATATATTATGAAGCAACAATTCGGTCCCAATGGCGTCACAACTTGTTGTATTGTTTGTCTCCTGGCTACAAATTGTGGCTTGGCTTGGCTTTTGCACAAAAGCAAAACATAATACTAAAATTAAGAGAGAAAAAACTTCCGGTACTTTTACTTTCAGTTAAGCCTTTCTTTCCTCTTTGCGAACGATAGTCTTCTGAAAATGCAAAAACCCAATAAAAAAACAAAAGCAAGTCGCCAACAAGCAACACGGCCACTAAACAATAACATAAACATCCACAGAAACCAGCTCATGACGTATTGGCCCCAAAAAACGAAAACTAAAACCGCCTGCGTGGCTTCCAAACAAAAAGAGGATGGCGATGGCGTTTTGAGGTTTCCAGAAAGTCCCAAATTTACAAGTTTAAATTGCAACCAAGAAAAAAATATGTGAAGTTTGAATCATGCCAATGTGCTGTTGCATGTTTGTCAAGATGAACATGCCAAGCAGTGGGGTAGGTTTGAGAGGAGAATAAAAAAGTTTTAACATATTTTCACATTTGCTAAATAACATTGCCATTTTTTCCCTAGTAAAGACAATTTTCTCGGAGAATTTCTATTGGAAAAAAATGTTGAAGAAAATATTTTAAGGATAATAAAATTAGGATTTTTTCCTGCTCCTTTTGAGGTTTATTGTGACCCCTCCATTTGTCAGTGGCTACCACACCTCTGTTGCTTTGTTTTTTTTTCGAACATTTTCCATATACGGAAAATTTATTTATGTTTGATAAGCAGTGACACATGAAAAATAGTTTTAAGTGTTATTTCCTTGCAACAAGTTTGACCGGACAAAAGTATTGCATAACATTAACAAGTTGAAATGAAATATAGGCAAATTGGCCTTTTGCAGTTATGTTGCAATGGAGGGAAATAAACAACATAATATTACATAAATAAGTATGTATATGAATGAGATCTTCTACGTGTAGAAGATCTTCAAACTAAGGAAATCCTTAATAAGGTCTCCGATCAAAAGAAGAACTGAAGAAGGTCTTCTTTTTTGGAGACATGGCAAAAGTCTTCTATCTATAAAACACCTGAATGATAGAAAAAAATCAGAAGCTGCACAATTTGGGTATCTCATAAAAAAATTCTAAGAGGGTCTTATAGAAGACCTACAGAAGGCATACATCATATATAAAAGAGTAGTTAAATAACTGACTGAGAATCTACGTCCCGATGAAACGACTGAAGCTAAAACCTTGCTGCGTATACTGGTGATAATATACAGGGTGAGATAAAAAAGATAATGTACAGGGTGAGATAAAAAAAACTGCAACAAAGTCAAACGCCATAATTTTTACATTTTTTCTTTTTAATTTTATTGAAAGCAAAAAATGTCGGAAATGGCATCGAATTTTAGAATAAGTTTAGATTTGGTCACCTTTGGCACGAATTATGGCTTTCAGACGGTCACACGCTGCCCGAATGTTGCTCTGCAGTATTTTTGAACTTGCTTGAGGTGATCGACACTTTCGTATTTTTTAGTGCCAACCTTGCTTTCCAAAATACTCCAGACACAATAGTCCACCATCCAGAATATTTTCGGGATAATATTCGACATTTATTCTGATGCCACTGTTAATTAATACGAGCGGAGAGCGACCATCGGCTGTTATGGAGGCCCACACCATCACCGTGGCCAACCGAAGGTGCACATTTTCAGCTGACCTCTTTGGCAAGTAAACACGATCATTTTGTTTATTTTTAAACTGCTGGATAACGAATGTTTTGTCATCGGAGAAAACCAAATTCGGCAGTTGGCACTTCACCACTTTCGGCCAAGCGAAGCAACTCTTTAGCTCTTTTGAGTCTATTTATACACTACACCACAAGGTGGTCAGGGTATTATGTCTTTGTTCATTTGTTTGTAACAGGAAAAAGGAAACGAGATAGACCCATAGTTCCTTTTGATGATCTGCATAGAATCACATTCTGAGTCGATTTATGCATGTCCGTCCGTCCGTCTGTCCATGTATTTTTGTAAACAAAGTACAGGTCGCATTTATTGCCCGATCCAGATGAAGTTGTGCACAGATCATTTGTTTGGCCCAAGGACGAACCCTATTGAAATTGGAGATAATCGGTCAAAATTTAGATATAGCTCCCATATATATCTTCGTCCGATTTGCCATTTATTGTGCACCAAACGTGAAATATCAGCCCGAATTGTATGGAACTTAGCTTATACACTCAAATTAGGCTTAAAAATATGTATGCCAAATTTGATCGGAATCGGTTGAGATATAGCTATAGCTCCCACATATATTTTTCATTCGATTTGTTATTTTTGTCCACCGCCGCCGTAATATGCACTCTGAAAAAACAATATTTGGAGAAATATTTCAAATACAGCTCAGAAATACATTTGCTAAACTTTATCGAGATCGGTTCAGATTTGGATATAGCTCCCATACATAACTTCGTCCGATTTACCTTTTATTGTGCACCAAACGTCTAATATTTGTCCAAATGGGATGGAATTTGGCACTTACGACCGAATTGAGTCTAGAAGCTAGTATGTCAAATTTGGTGAAGATCGGTTCAGATATATAAAGGTACTAAGTGGTACTAACTTTGATATTGGGTAAAGGGATATAGGTTGAATTCTCAATTTTGATACTAAGGTCTCTGTTGGTATCCGGAATTAAGATATAGAGGTGGTTTTGAAAGTGCAATTCGAAAAGTTCTAAGTGGAATTCCAAAATTGATATTAAGGTCTTTGTTGGTATCTAGGGTTGAGATATGGATGTGAGTGAAGGGATAGAGATAAAATTCTAACGCTATCTCCCAATATTCGGTATTTTGACGATTTTAGGTACAATATTCACTGAATTTGTTTGAAATGTCGTATTTGAAGTTCTTAATAGGTACTACAGCCTGTGAAAAAAGTTGCCTAAGCATTTCCACGTTT